TCTTGATCACTACTGGTTTAGAGTAAACCTTGAAGCCGAGTATGTCAGTTCTCCATTTTTGTTCCTCTCCTTTAATATTGTATTGAGTACTCTAGTTCTTTCTTTTGCTTTTTCATCTTTTTATTTTCTTATGACCCACATAGTTCTTTGCGCATTGTAGGCATATAATTGTTTGTTATCATGATGGATGATTTATATAATAACTCACAGACATATGCAATTATACTTGTCTTGAGTTTACTCAGTGTAGGATTATAAATGTATACTATGTATATGCACTACAGCAAAAATTAGATATTTATATATGTGCATATACACAAACAGACATATGAATATACAATACTAATTCTTAATTTGCAAATTTAAAATTAGGTCAATGTGATGTGCTTTAGTCCTTTTGGAATAAACTTTAATTGTCATCTTTGGAATCTTCTTTTGCATTAGCTACTACCTTAAATCTCTCAATCTGCATATATTGTTGGGCACTGCCCTCTAGTAAACTATTTCACTTTGTATTTTTTTTAAGATTTATTTATTTATTTATACAAGCACTGGGAACAGTCAGAAGCACGGGAGGGTGAGAGAATTCACCAGAGCCAGCGTGGGGAGCAGAGCAGGCAGAAGGACCGAAGTACACTGCTGAGGGGAGTAGTGGGCGGCAGGAGAGGTCTGTGTGCCATGTGGGACCCTCCTTTGGTGGCCGGGGAGCAGCCGGGGATTGAACCGGCGCTGCAGAGGCTGCGGGCAGCTTTGCAACCCAGTGCTCAACCCCTGCACCACCAGGGAGGCCCCTCACTTTGTATTTTTGATAACCAAAATTAATCTTTCTTTATTAGAGCTATAAAATTAGTTTTTTAATATGCTGGAGGTAGTGTGTAATGTTAGGACTGGTTTGGAATACTCTGCAACTTAACTTTTCTAATATACAAAGGGATTTTCAGAAATCTTTTATTAGTTACTCACTATTAGTAGGAAAGTCCAATTTCTCTAATTTCAAGCTAACCTAAAACTGAGCTACATTTTAATCCCAGCTTATATTTCACTATGTGGAAACCTCTAGTTTAGGCTCCAAAAATACACATTCAAATCTTACCCTTTGCTTTTTTTTAGGTAGCTTTCTTCCATTTCTTTCTTTACTTAAATGTTAATATCATTCTAGGTACAAATCAAGCGTACTGCCTCCATGAAACCTTTACTACTAACTTCAACCATATCAGTTACCTTACTACACACAATATTTTTTTCCATATTCAGAAAATTCATGCCATATTAAAAGAGCTTACACTTCATGACTATGTAGTTGACTTTGGGCCGACTATGCATTATTACAAAAGAATGGATTTTCAATCCCTGGCTAATTTTAAAAATTATGTTTTGGGAAATGCAGAGATGATTAGAAGGAGAAAACTAGAAACCGAAATCAAGTAGAGTGAGCAGTCATCATTCAATAAGTGACTCTTGAACGAACGAACGAACGAATGAATGAATGCATAATTTCATTAGTTATGTTTAACTCAAAAGTACAACTAACTTCATTAGTCCATGGAAGGAATAAAAGGTAATATAACACTGGGTTTGGAGTTAGAAAATATGTTCAAGTTGTAGCTTTCCCATGCTAATTTTTTTGTGCCAACGAAAAATTAAATAAACTCTGAGTCCCATTTATATTAGCTATCAAAGAAAAATAATCATGTAAAATAAGAAATAGTTAAAAGTAATGTGTAAAGCGATAAATTACTATAGCAATAAAATTACTATTATTCTAACACAGTCTTTATTTTAAGTATTAAATGGGGGAAATTAATTAAGAAAACAAAAACTGTTTAAGGAAATCAAATATTTTGTCTAAAATATTGCCAAACCTCTTGGCATATTCAGCTAATAAATGGCAATTTCTGAATGAGAATGTGATCATTTTCATCTCATTATAAACCATAGATAAATTAAAAAGTTAGGTGATAGAAGACTTCCATGCCCTCTTGTAGAAGAGTAATAAGATCAAGCAAAGTGAAAGAAAATTTATGAAATTCTCTAAGAGAAGGCAATATTGCCTAAGATGGCTGGATTCCTGAAAGGACGCTGGCTCTAATATTGTTTGACACATAGACTAGAAAGACAGTTCTATGATAATGGTGTTTTAAATTATGCAACAGCAACATAAAACATACAACAGCAAATAAACATAAGTTTATAAACAAGTACTGTCCTTTAAGCCCTACTAGATGGTAGGCAATATATCACAAGCTTGACATATATTTTTAGCCATTTCTTTCTTACTAAAACTCTGTGAGATAAACATTATTCACATTTTATATATATAGTAAACTCATTCCTAGAGGTTCAAAAAAATTTAACCAAAGCCACGTAGCTTTCATATGTTGGTGAAATTAGAATTTTAAACCTGAGTTTATTTGAGTCTACAGAATACATGTTACAAATATAGCAATATTGAGAGATATCTAGAAAAGTTAAAAGGCTCAAATGCTTTATAGTTGAAGTATATAAGCTACTCTCTAGATATGGCTTGCAAAGGTAAAAGAAATACTTTAGCTAATAAGGTGACAGGGTTAGAGAGAGAAAGCTGGAGGAAAAAGAACTTTCAACATACTAAAAGCGTAAGTGATTGGCTCAAGACCATGGAGGTCTGGGACCCAATACTTTTGAAGGTTAAGGGATTTCTATGGATAACAGGCTAAGTTTTTCAGTCAAGCAACTAATAAGAGTGATTTTCTTACAAGCTAAACTAGTTAGCCCATGTACTTAGGTATTAAATACATCAATATATTACCTGAGCTGGTTCTTCTTTTACAAATATGTGAGGTGACAATTATAAAGAACATTTATTAAGCATTTATTTTGTGCTAGATATTGTTATAAATGTTCTACATTTGATCTTAGTGACAACTTGACAAAGCTGTTACTTCTATTATCATATTTTAATGAGGAGGAAATAAAAGTCATGACTCAAATTCAGGCAAGGTGTTGTTAGAATCATATTATTACCATTCTATTATGCTGATGTTATAGTAAACTAGAAACTACAGTAATTTAGCAAGAAATATTTTATTAACAATCATTGTTATTTAAAAATTACCTTCCAAAGTAGATTGCCTTAATTGTCACTTTGTGAATAGATATAGAGGTCAGTAGTGTTTATTGACACTTACAACTAGTGGGAACTACAGTAAGAATTAACCTTCCTTTGGTTTCTTAGAGAATGCGGTAAGAAATGAACTGTATATAATGTGTATTCTGAAATATGCGATTTGGTGTTATGCAAGTGAAAGATGGCACTTGTGCACTTCAGTATGGTTGCTTATTAACATTTAACATTCAAATGATTCACCATGAACAGAAACTTTGGTAGTCTATAAAGTGACAAAACACTTTTTTTGCTTTTGTTTTATTTGGTTTATTTTTACCTATACTACTCCAAAGTGATATCAAGTGATTTTTTAATTTGCAATGCTTGAAATGGATATAGCATTATTTCATGATTATGGGTGACAAAGGTTCACTTCTTCTGTAATGTAATATATGTATATATATTTGATAATTGATGTAATTAACATGTTATATTAATGTGGAAATATATACTAGATGAATTGTTGCACTTCAGTGAATAAACTCAAATAATTCTTCTAAGCCATATTGATTAGACCATCGATGAGTGATCAGGTTCTATGATCAAGTAAGGAAAATTTAAATACTCTATGAACTTTGAAGCCTGGGAAATATCTAAATTAGACATATTAAAATTTTTATTTCAAAATCAAATTATAATTCAGCAATATGAACTTGAATGCATTAATTAATTTAAATGACAGAAATGTAATAATGCCAACTAACTTGATAAAAAGTAAAAATAAAGAATCATTTTTAAGTTTTCATATATCTAAAGTGTACCACCTGGAGGTTTGAAATATATATATTTTAAAAACTTTTAATGAGGTAACACTGGCTTACAACACTGTATGTGATTCAAATACACAGGATCACACCTGCTCAGATGCATGTTATCACACCATACTCTCTACCAAGACAACCTGGATCATTGAATTTTTCACATTCCATCAAATATTAACTTTGTTGTATATAGCTATAATAACAATGAGTAATAAACATTTTTCATGAATAACTTAGCATTTATAATTAAGTGCAAGTTAATGTTTGGACTTTGGAGGCTCATCATGATGAGGGAAAATTAACAAAAGAAAACATCTTTTATATTAATAAATTGTACCATAATAATTTAGAAGCTATTACAAAATCTCAAGTGTATAAATTAAATGAAGAGTTTGAAATTTTTATGTTGTATTTCTCTGAAATACCACATATTTATTTTTAAAATGTTTACATTTTTTCAGTTATTAACTATAATCAGTTCTTGTTCATACCTTGATATATGCAGAAAACAGTTTTGTCCCCAATTAATGGTAATAGATATGTGTGACAGATTTACAAATCCAAAAAATAAGCATTAATAAATATAAGCTGTCATCTATGAATGGAAATAGTTTTTGAATGCATGGTTTTGACAGTATAATGTCTAAAATTAGGCTATTTTTAAAAAGTTCACTTTAATAAAAATTATCTTTACCTATAACATGTATTAAATCAATGACAAAAGGCCAAAATATACTACTTTGATACAGAAAATCAACTTTTTACATTTAGCCTAAAAAATTCCTTTAGAAATAAATGATCAAAAAATTTAATATAATCCACAGGGATTGGGAAGTTGGGGGGTAAGGGGTAGACCACTGTGTCACAGAAATACAATTAAAATAAAACTGATGATACTAATTTTAGAAATAATTTAATTTTGTTTATATCAAAAGAAGACATTTAAAGAAAGAAAAAAATCCAAATACACATTTTTGGGGCTGTTATGGTTGCTGGCATCCTACCCCCTATCTGTAAAAGAATGCTTGTTGGCATTAGTTTCCATCAATTCATTTGTGATTTCTAAATTAATTCTGAAGGAAACCACAACTTACTTGAGGATCCCGCTGAGTGTCTGTGTGCCTGATTTTTTTTTTCTCTCTTCACAGACAAAGCACTTCCACTGGTCATGGAAAAAAGGTCTAAATCCGTGTCTTCTCTGCTTACAAGTCTTGCCTGGGAGCAATGGGAGAGAATGTATACAATCATGAAACAAAATATGGCATTTTCTGAATGCAGCTCACATTACCCCAAATAAACAAACAGGCTCTGTCAAACAACCTTCTTCAAAATGATACCACAATCCTTTATTGCTGCCCAGGCAGAACAAATGCACTATGTCAAAGCATTTTTTGCAAATAAGAGCCGATTTTAAAATTGAGGTTTGCTATTTGAGTCTGTACAACAAAAGAAAACATTTTGGTACAGTAATTTTGATGAAAATCAATCTTAAAGGCAACTGATGAACTTTAAACAGCTTAACATCACTTATTTTACCAAGTATATTATTTAATTCTTAATTGAATGTTATAAATGTCACAATGGATTATTTTTGCAATATTTATATTTTACCACTTATAAGTATTAGTCTTCTCAATAAAATCCCTGAAATGCCTTTCATCCCATATTTATGTTTCACAAATCACAATAGATCCTTACTTTCTCATTACAACCATCATTCAATAAAGATATTACACATTCAGTCTCACTGGGGAGTAATTTTTTCATGTTTGATGTGAGAAAATTGAAATACAGCAAAATAAAGCCATAAAATATTCACTGTGGTTTAAAAAATTTTATACAGATGATGAGCTATAAAAACACATGAAACCAGAATCTAAATCATTTTCTTTCATATTCTGATCTTGCTTCTTCTTCTTTACATGCTCCTTTCCACTTTCTTCCCACCCACACACGCACTAGCTTATCATTATTAATTAAGTAAACAAGTTTGCTATGCTGAAATCAGAATGGGAACTATTCCATAATGTCAGTCACTTTTTGATGTACCTGGTAAGTGATATAATTTCACTGTCAAAAAACTTCAATAGAAAACTATTCAGAATAAATAACAGTTGACTTCTAACTAATAGTAAAAATGTTATATATTCTTTCTGAATTTTATGTACAACTAGTACATAGGGGTACGTATCTAATTGTTCGTTATTATAGAGCAGATCCATCAATATTAAGACTTAAAAGCCTCCCTGGTGGTGCAAGGGGTTAAGCACAGCACTATAAAGCAATCCACAACCTCAGCAGCAGGAGTTCGATCTCCAGCTGGCCAGGGAGCAACCCACATGGCGCAGCAGACCTCTCCTTTCTTGCCTGCTGCTCCCCTCAGCAGTGTATTTCAGTTAGTCTCCTGTTCTGTTCCCCACTCTGTTTCTGGTGAATCCTTTCACACCCCCACACCTCTGGCCTGTATCCCAGTTCCTGTATGCATAAATAAACAAATCTTTAAAAAAAAAACTAAGACTTAATAAAAAAACACAATTGTTAAGAAGTTAAATTAAGGTAGAAATACCAAAGTAATACCACAGTTTTGGTGAGATCAAGTAGAAAACAAGGAAGACTATATTAACCACTAGGGGAACTTCCTGTTGACTAATGAGGCTTTACTGAAAACTTCAAATTTTTTAAAATCAGGTTTTATTTGTTTCAATTTAATGATGTAATTTCTCTATATCTATTTACAAAATAGAAATCCCACTGTCCTGTAAGTAAGATGACACCTATATGTCAAAAAAAATGATTATGAACACATACCATCCTCAAATTCTGTCATGTAAGCCATTAATAGCCAAAAGATTATTCCTTGCAACATGGAAAACAATGTCAGCTACTAATTAAGTCAGATTATAGCAATCAATTTATAAGTGTATTTATCAAAAGCACATGATTTCACATTGGTGATACCTAGTAGCATAAAAGCAAAGTTAGAAATTTCATAAAATGACTAGTTATAGTCTCATTAGTGCACATATGTCATAACGACATATACACTAAATTCAGGTTTTTATGTTGAATATCATTCTTCCTCTTACTATTAACAGATAAATCATGAAGTAAATATCTTTTTTTAAAATTTTTTTAAAGATTTATTTTTATGCATACAAGAGCTGGAGTACAGGACAGAGATGTGGGGGTGAGAGGATCCACCAGAGACAGAGTGGGGAACAGAACAGGCAGACTGACTGAAATACACTGCTGAGGGGAGCAGCGGGCGAGACAGGAGAGGTCTGCCTCGCCAAGAAAATATCTTTTATACCACATAAAATGGATATACTTAAAAATTGAAGATAATTGATCATCTTTGAAAATTAGTTCTACAAAAATGCATGTTTAATTTTAACACTCTAATAGTAAATATTTTGTACGGTTATAGCAAAATAAGCAGTTTTGAGTTAATGTCACTAGAATTTTCTTATTGCAGTTCAAGAGTATGTAGTGATTAAGTAGAAATTTTTGCAAAATTCTTGCAGGCTTTTTTTCTTTCCCCCTGAACAGGTTATAATTATAGCCCCATCTAAGAGCCTTGACATATTTTTGCCCACATTATCAGAATGAAGGAGGGGAAAGCCTGTTTACTTACTATCCAGATTTAACAAAAACAAAAATAAGTGCAGCTTATAAGCTATTTTGCAGTATTCCTACAAGTATGTATTCAATATTAGTTTCAAAATTAACAAAGGTGGTGTATTTTTTTCTTCAACTTGCTTTTTTAACTGTACATCATATCTGCGAAATTCAGGTTGGGTTCATTATTTTAAACCTTTGAATAACATCCAAGACATTAGAAAATTATTGCACATGCTATGAACATACCACATCACTGTATTATTCTAGACATATGCATTATTTTAAAAGTTTATGGAAGAGGCTTTATTATATAAGAAAATAAAGCAGTCTTTATTATATAAGTCACTTTAAATGTCTCAGTTATTATTTTACAAGGAGTGAAATGCATAAACTAACTTGCAGTTCAATCATTTTCAAAATTTTTATTTTGAGGTAATTCAAAACTCCCATAGAAATTGAAAAAAATTGGTACTGAGAATTAATTCCCTGTATACCATCCACCCAGCTTGACTCAGTGATCTTTATATAAACCAAGTGTGATTAATAAAACCAGGAAATTGACATTGTTCCAATACCATTACTAACCCATAGATTTTTTTTTTAAATTTATTTATTTATACAAGCACTGGGTACAGTCAGAAGCGTAGGAGGGTGAGAGAATTCACCAGAGACAGAGCGGGGAACAGAACAGGCAGACTGAAGAAATACACTGCTGAGGTGAGCAGCAGTCATGGCAGGAGAGGTCTGCACGCCATGTGGGACCCTTGCTGGCAGCCTGGGATCGAACCGGTGCTGCAGAGGCTGTGGGCAGCTTTGCAGCCCAGAGCTCAACCGCTGCACCACCAGGGGAGGCCCACCACAGATCTTATTAAGACTTCACATGTGCCATTTTTTGTTTGTTTATACTTCTATAACATGTTATCACATATATAGGTTCATATAACTATTACTCTTCCATCTTCCCCCCAAAATGATCTTGCTCTGTCTTTATAAATATACTCTCTCCCGAACCTAACCACTGGCAACCGCTGGAGAACCAATATGTTCTCTATCTCACTAATAACTGATTTTGAAAATGTTATATACATGAAATAATACTGCATGTAACCTTTAGAAATTGTTCTTTTTCATTTAGTACAATGTCTCTTGAGATCCATCAAGATCTTTGTATCCAGCTTTTAATCTTGTTTGTTCCTTTTTATTGCATATCCATTGTATGATGTACCATTTGTTTATGCTTTTACTCAATGAGATTGGTTTATTTCCAATTTTGGCTATTAAAAATAAAACGGTTATAAATATCTGTGTATACTTTGATTGAAAATAAATTAATTTCTCAAGGAAAAATACACTGGAGTAGAATCATTGGGTCATTATGTTTTATATATATGTATACATACACACATACATATATGTATACATATGTGTGTGTGTATTTAACTTTTCAAGAAACTGAAATTTGGGCCTTTCCAGTGGTGCAGCGGGTTGAGCACAGTGCTGTGAAGCTGTCCACAGCCTCTGTGGTGAGGGTTCGATTCCTGGCGGGCCAGGGAGATTCCCACATGGCGTGGCAGACCTCTCCCGTCACGCCGGCTGCTCCCCTCAGCAGTGTATTTCAGTCAATCTGCCTGTTCTGCTCCCGGCTCTGTCTCTGGTGAATCCTCTTACCCTTCTGCACCTCTGGCCTGTGCCCCAGCTCTTGTATAAAAATAAATAAATCTTTAAAAAAAAAAAGAAACAAATTTTCTTTTAAGTGACTGTACCTTTACCAGCAGCAATATATGAAATTCAGTTGTGCCACCTATTTGTCATTACTAAGTAACATTAGCATTTTATTTTAATCACTCTAATGTGTGCTTAGTGCTGTGACAGTGGCTTTAACAACTTCCCTAATGATTGATGATATCTGACATCTATTCATGTGCTTAGTTCTATCTGGATATTCTCTTTGGTGAGGTCTATATTCAGAGTCCATGGATGATTTTGATAATCATCCATGTTGCTCTGTGCATCAAGGGTTTTCTTTTAATTTGTAGGTAGGTATGCCATTGTAAGAATATACCATACTTCATCCATTCTCCTTCAAGATGATGAAAATTTAAGGTTTTTTTTTGGTATTTTTTGACCTTTATCCATAAAACTTCTATGTAATTTTCATTCAGTCTTTAAGTGCACCTTTTTATTTGGGTAAAAATTTAGAACTAATAGGGTAGGATTATGCATAATTTTATAAGAAATTGCCTATATTCCAAAATTAAAAAAAATGCACTTGGATGGGCACAGGAGGAAGGAAGGGAGGTAAAGAGTGGAGAAGAAAGAGAGAGAGAGTATATTTTATATTTAGGTGATAAACTATTGTTATATTTAGACACTGAAAAAATTGTTTTTGTAATTGGTTTGTTAACCTCTTCTATGAAATCCTTCATAGGATGTACTCAGGCAATTATTTTTGCCATTTGATTTGTACTATTTATAATTTTTAAATAACTTATTTAAAATTATATCCCTAATTATTTTATCAATTTTACAACTTTCCCTTTCACCTTTAAGTCTTGAAACCTGAATTTCATTTGACTATTATAAAGGGTATATGTGGTCCACAGGTACTCCTGTCATCTCTACCCCCCTAGACCCCCTGCGATGTGACCTTCCCATATTTATCACATATTCCAATAGGGTGAAATGTCTATTCCTGAGCTATTCATATTTATCCACTATTCATATCTACTAATCTATTTATCAATGCATATGACAGCACCAAAATTATTTTTTTAGATTTTATTTATTTATTTATATGAGCACGGGGTACAGTCAGAAGCGTGGGAGGGTGAGAGAATTCACCAGAGCCAGAGTGGGGAGCAGAACAGGCAGAAGGACCAAAGTACACTGCTGAGGGGAGCAGCGGGTGGCAGGAGAGGTCTGCGAGCCATGTGAGACCCTCGCCCGGCGGCGGCTGGGGAATGAACCGGCGCTGCAGAGGCTGCAAGTAGCTTCGCAGCCCAGTGCTCAACCGCTGCGCCACCAGGGAGGCCCAGCACCAAAATTTTACCTTAGTTTTCTATTAAGTGTTTACATCTGGGACACAAGTCGTTCTTTTCCAAGATTGACATATAATCTTGGGTTTTTATTCATCAAGATATATTTTGGAATGAGATTTCTCAGTTTCCTAAAAAAAAGCAGCTAATTTTGGTTGGAATTGCTTTTAATGTACATATTTATTGTGGGACAATAGACATATTTAATATGCTAAATTGCTGCATGGATGAATAGTAACTTTACTGAGTATGTATCACTCAGATCACTTTTAATGAGTAAGTGGGATTATTCAGTTGGTGAGAAAGCTGAAGTTAGTAGCTCTTAGCTGAATACCTTTTTGAAATTGTCTAAACTGGAAGGAGTTGCCTTGACCAAGTCACACTCTCTCCTGAGGCAACACAGGAGCATAAAGCCTGGCCCTACCGCCTCAAGCTGGGACTATCCAAAGAACTTCCCATTACTAAAGCTCTCTTCCTCTACTGCAACTCTAATGCAGTTCATCTCCCTTTGCTCCACCTGGCTTCTTACATCTCTCAAAGGAGTCATTTTTCTGGAAGCCTTCCCCAGCAGATGTCAAATATCAGAATATCAGATATATCTTTCTTTCTTAGGGATCCTAAACCATTACTCTCTATTCTGCAGGAAGATCCTGGAGTTTTAGAGGATAAGTTTAATCTAGTTAAGAATACAATTGTCTAGGGGCCTCTCTGGTGGCACAAGGGGTTAAGCACCACACTACCTGCAGCAGGAGTTTGATCCCCTGCCAGTCAGGGAGCAACCCACATGGCGAAGCAGACCTCTTTTGTCTCGCCCACCCTCTGCTCCCCTCAGCAGAGTATTTCAGTCAGTCTGCCTGTTCTGTTTCCCACTCTGTCTCTGGTGAATCCTCTCACTCCCCGAATCTCTGGCCTGTACCCCAGCTCTTGTATGCATAAATAAATGAATCTTAAAAAAAAAAAGAATACAATTGTCTAGATCTGTGGTATGCCCTTAAATATATATTTGAAAGTAAAATGATAACTTGTTTCAATTTTCTTATTCCTGTTACATGATTTGTTCAGAATACAAAGATGACCTTTATTAGCTTCCTCAAAACTTAGCACTTGAATGTTTGATCATGTGTTAGTCTGCCCTCATTCTTGAATGTGAGTGACTATTTTGGATGATAATTATATTTATTCCTATTATTACGTCTTTTAGTATGCATTATTTCTGATTTGATGTCAGCTATTGATTTAATTACAGATCTTTCAGAAATAATCTTCCAATTCACTAATTCTTTTTTTTTTAAAGATAGATTTATTTATTTATTTATAAAAGATTGATTGATTGATACAAGCACTGGGTACAGTCTGAAGCGCGGGAGGTCGAGTGAACTCACCAGAGCCAGAGCTGGGAGCAGAGCAGGCAGAAGGACCAAAGTACACTGCTGAGGGGAGCAGTGGGCAGCAGGAGAGGTCTGCGCACCATGTGGGACCCTCACCCGGTGGCCGGGGATCGAACCGGCGCTGCAGAGTCTGAGGGCAGCTTCGCAACCCAGCGCTCAACCGCTGCACTACCGGGGAGGCCCCACTAATTCTTTTTTTATTAGTCCAGTCCAGAGTTTCTTTCGATAATAATCTTTTATTTCCAGAACTTACCATAGGATCATTTGCATATACACCTCTACTCTAATTAAAACACTATCACTTTTGTTCCATAATTTTCTGTCCTTTTCTTATGTGTCTTTTCTCATGTTTCAAGGAACTTACAGTAGCAGAAATTGTACATTTTTTCCACTTTCCTCTTAATTATGACTGCCTCCCATCCCAAGCACACCCCCCAAGGCTTTAATTCCCCAATACCTCAATATTTCAACTTGGAGTCTTTAAATAGCTTAGTATCTTGACATAAGCCCTGGATCGTTTCCCCTTTCTCCTCTCACAAACAGACAAAAGCCAAAGTAACAAACAAAAAATTGTGTTTCTGTTATATTACCATTTACCTTGTTTTGCACTTAGATGTACCTCTTTAATACGGGGAAACTTATCATTGCTATGTATTAATCATATATTAGAATTGGCCTGTATATTACAATATGGAGGGATATGGAAGAAAGGGATTAATGGTCAGAGCATTACGCTCAGAACTGATTTGATTAGTAATCAACCCAATCTGTTTTCATGTCTTTTCTTTAAATGAGTTGTTTATAAGAAAGATGAATATAACTTCTGTGGATATAATAATACTAGTTTCCATTAGAAAGCATATTATCTTTTTATATAAATGATAAATTGTACGTGATAAATTATGATCAGTTTTCTTGGTGAATGTAGAATCTGAATGAGGAGATTAAATGGCTGATATATGTAAGTGGTCATAAAGTTAGGATCACCTGATATAGCCATTTTTACCTGCCAAGGAAGTCACACACTTTTGTCATTAGTCAGGGCACACTCTTCTCTGAAATTTTCTGGAAACACATCAAAATTTTCTCATTTTATGAGCTCCATGTCTCTAAAATCCATATTGACTATTTTCTTTCTGTTAACATAGGCTAACTTCTAATAGACTCTAATCTAATGGACTTTATCAATGTGCTTAGTTATATTATCTAGAATACTCACTTTGGTCACTACAATAGGACTTGGTTGTTTCTAAACATCTAATCATTTGCACTTTATTACTTAGAGTGGATGAGTTCAAAATTTCTTGTTAATTTTTCTCTGGTTTTAGTTTTAGAGTTGTGAGAATTTTTTGTTTTCTTTTTCTCTCAAGTATCTTACTTTTTAAAATAGTCAAGAAAATAACTTCATTATGCAACTTCCTGTCCATAATAATTTTATTTAAATATGGCTGTATGTTACTATTTTAAAATCTGTCATACTGATTAATATTTCAAATTATTTTAAAGCTATATTAAGAAAATATTATAATTTTGATACATATTATTTTAAGATTACCCCAAATTGATACAATTGTGATATTTTCATAATTGAAACTAGTTTTGACATAAACATATTTAACATATTTTAAAGTGCCATTTATTAGAGTGCTGGTATCCATACTTTTTTTTTTTTTTAGTTTTAAACACATTTCTTACCACAAGCTGAACTCTCCCACCATTGCGTACATCTGGATCTAACTCAGGCAAGAAGTGATTGCTGCAGAGTGACAAAAACAAAAATTACATAATATAAATGTAGAGGAAAAATACCAAAGAAAATATCCAATGAAAAGTTTTGGAGAAATCAATAACTTACAAGGACAATTGTGCATTGCATCATATGTTCAAATATAATTTATTTAAAAGTAAGGAATACTGTCAAATTTTTAAATATATCTAAAATCTATTCTGAAACATTTGCTTAGGTATTACACATTATCTGTACTAATGGTTTTAAATCTCCAAACCAGACCTTTTATATCTTATTTAATAAAGATGGTAAACTAAATTTATATTTGTTCTTAGTTATAAGAATGTTATCTCAAGTATTGAATGATAACCAACATAAAAGATATTTTTCTTGCATTGATCAAAATATTGAATAAAAAATTCTCAAAAGCTGATAGTTTTATTACTACCTTATTTGCTCACAATGACATGACATAGCAATGTAGATTATAAAATGTTGCTTTAATTTCACTTTCATTCTCCATCTTCATTTCCATGTTTTAAAAAGAATTATTGATAGAATTGATTACATTTGAAAGTTTCTATTTATATATCTTATAAAAATATTTTAGTTTTTACCCAGTGGATAAATTTAGTATTAACCTTAAAAATTACAGGATATTTTTTGTTATTCATTGAAATAGTTATTCCCAATAATGGAAAATATTTCCAGCGTATGGTCTATAGTTAGACTCAATATGAATTTATATATTTAACGAATGCTTATAATAGCATATTTAAAAACTTGGGTGGGTATATGTCTTCACAATGTATGTCACACATATTATCTTTTGGCTTTTATTTCAATAAAACTTTGACCCAGCACATATACAATGTGATGGGCTGAATTAAATTCCCTTAAAATCCATCTGTTTAAGTCTTAACTCCCACTATCTTGAATCTAACTGAATTTGGATTTAGAACCTAGAAAGTGATAATTAAGGTAAAATGGAGTCATGAGTATACCCTAATGTAGTGTGACTGGTGTCTTTATAAGAGGAGATTAGAATACAGACACCACAGACAGAGGAATGGCTATATGAGGACACAGTGAAAAGGTGACTATCTCAAGCTAAGCAGAGAACCTCCAAAGAAACCAAACTTGCTAATTCTTTGATCTTGGACTTGTAGTCTGCAGAACAGTGAGGAAAAAACTTTGCTGTTTAAGTCATCGGATAGCTGCTATTTTGTTAAGGCAGACCTTGAGAACAAATACATGCATTAATGTACCAAAATAAATTGATTAGGTTCAAATCACCTTGTTTGTTGCTAAGGGATATGAACATTTGATATCTTCAACCTTGTGAATTCACCTCTATGCTGTCAGATAGATTTTAATCATTTCACTATAAAAGATAGAAAACTAAAGTATTAAGATATCATTGCAAATTAGATACATGAGGAGCAAAGTGCCAGTGCCAGGGTTGAATAATCATTTTTACTGCCAATCATAAACGAAAACAAAACAAATCAAAATAAAAGGCAACCTGTAATATGTGCTATTTATAAAGTTAAAAGGTATTGCACATTTTACATACTTTATGAAGTTGAATCATTTGTGTGGTTCATCTATTGGTTTTAAGCATTACAGAAACAGAGTTCTGAAACATTTTAGGGTGAAAAATATCACGTGAGTAAATCTATTTCATATAAGAGGCCTTTTATAACCTAGCAATGTGTGTATTAGCCCCTGGCTATAAAGTCATGTTTGTTTTAGCACAATTAACCTAAGTTTCACTTTGCAAGATATGTTGACAATACAAAAATCTAATTTAAAGGAAATGACCTCACCATTTCGTATTTCTGGAACCAGTTGTTTCATGAACCCCAACCTGCGTGTGAAGCCATTGGTATGTGTATTCTTTACTCCTTTCTAATTTTTCATTTACAGCAGAATTCTTATGGATAAACTCTTCTTCCTTGCCTGGGTAATAAATATGGAATTTTTAGTTATTTAAAGAGCTCACACTTTGGCTAAGTAGTTCAATGTAGGCTGTCACAAGAAAGCAAATAATTCATGGGAGCCAAATCATCTCTAGGAAGAAAAATGTCAAGGATTAAGATTTTCCTTGCTTCAGTTTGAAACCTGTCTCTTGAAAAATAAAGGAACTGTTTAATGCAACCACTAATTTATAAGGTTTACCTTTTTAGTTTTTTAATTAGAAAATTCAGAGAATTAATGTTGGCAGGCAGTAGGATTCTAGAATAAAAAGAATATCTGTTTGCTGTCATGTCTTTTCAGTTTTTTTTCCAAGTCTAGTTGTTCTTGTGTTAGCCTTACCCATAAGTAGAATTTATAAATTACATTGAGGCAATTTGACAGAATTTTGATTTTAAATAAAATCAAGTTTGTTTTATGTAAGCTAAAACAATATTTTAAGCTAGGAATATAAAACATCTTAGGCTTCGGAAATTGCTTATGCCATAGCAGCTATTCCAGAGATGGTAGGGGAAGCATAACAATGAAGACAATTATGGAAAATATTCAAGAGGAGAATGGGTTAAAATGGGTTAAAAATAAAAGATAACATACAAGAGTAAATACATTACTTAAAAAATTCCTTATGTTCAAATGCTAAATTGACCATATATGTCTGCATTAATGAAAATTACTTGATACTGCTACTATGTCAATGCCTTGAATTTCAGAATCACACTTAAGAGTCTTCATAAGGCTGAAGAGTTGTTTTAGAGACATCCTCCATCATTTTATCATGTAGGCTGCTTCTTTTTGGTGCCATCACCATGTTTAAGGTCTTGTTAGTTTTGTAGGCTTGATTGACAGTACACCAGAGAAAAGTAGTTCTGGAAAAACAACTCTTGGTAATCAAACTCACACGAATAAAATCTGTTATTTAATATGTCAATTTATTAATATGAATTATTCTTTCACTAGAGATGTTAATGTGTAGAAGGTCACCTTATATTTACAAGTCATTTGGAAAACAAGTAAAATAGGGTGCTAGGCATGTTTTGAAGGCTTGGTACACATGTACACACAAACACACATGTATGCAGAAGCTTAGCATTTGTCATCCTGAATATTGAGTATGACACATTTTTCATGTCTTTTTTTGCTGAAAAATTGTTACCGTGATTAGTGAAATGTCTCTAGTTTTCAATCCAAGGAGATACTAGAGTCTCAGGCAAGCTAAAAATCAGGATGTTTCATTCTTCTTAATTTCATGGTGCTTAGTAAAGTTAACTTCTTTTTACTTCTCATGCCACCTTGCGTTTCTAAAATAGTCAAGCTCCTTACATCCTGAGCTTAAGCCAACCCTTGCATAATTGCTACATTGAAAGAACAATTGCTTCATATGAGAGGGCAGACCAAATATTTGAATCCATGAGCAGACACCATCTTGATAAATGGCCTTATAGGTATATACAGTGAAACTATCAAGTAGACTCAAACAAGGGAAGATTTGGTATTGCCACCACCAGTTACCACATAACATTAAGTCTCTTCTCTAGCAGAGCTCCAGCCTTAGATCTGCTTTTCTTCAGTGATCAGACTGGATGTTCCACCCATGTATGCAGTGATAGACTAGGGAGGACTCTGAGCTGATGATCAACTGAGCCCATGGCTGAAATCTCATCTAGATTGATATATGGTAATTCTTTTGCAACTAGTGTACTCTTAGCTAGAATTAAAAAAAAAAAAAAAGCAAATCTGTGTCTTTCTATTTGTAAAACAGAGACATATAATTGCAATAGTCAGTTTTAAAAGTACTTATTTTGGAAAGTTTCCCTCAACTCTACAAAACTCCATAAGCCCTAAGTGGTTTTTACATCAAAACTCAGCCAAGGTTTTAAACAACAATCCCCTTGAGTAAAGACAAGAGATTTCACTGTAAGAGTCTAATTCATATTAACCATTTAACCCTAAGGCATAATGGTAGGTTGGCATGAGCACAATGTAGGAAAGAGATCAGGCACAGTGGTGAAGTTGGCTGGATGCACTGGAAGATACTGCGATGCAAATGCTGGAGGAAGTAATTCTGTTTTGGCTAAATCATTTCAGTATTATTCCTGTCACTGAGAGAGAGGTAAGATTTACTTTTTGAATTTTGCAGGAATCATGCTTTTGGAATCTTGTATGGGAAGAATAATGGTGACCTGTACTAAACTGAAGCTCATCAGTTTCTAGTCAGGTGCTCAATAAATCTTTCCTTTCAATTGTGGAAGGAGAGTCACTCTCTCACAGAAAGCCAAAAAAAATTGTTTTTAAACATTCTCATTTATTTTTTTTCACAGTATACAATTTCTCCCCTGAGGTGTGGTCGCCATAGTTTTCCCACCATGAAGGGCCCACAGTCCTCCACTCTTTACCTCCTGGCCTTTCCTACTTCTCTGGATCTTGCTTCATTAATTTCTGTGTCATCAACCTAAGATATAAGATCTTTCTTTGAGGCCACCCTGGTAGTGCGGGGGTTAAAATCTCAGCAAGAGATGGCATGAGATGGCATGAGATGGCTTCTCAGCCAGGGAGCTACCCACATGGCACAGCAGACCTCTCCTGTCTCATCCACTGCTCCCCTCAGCTGTGTACTTCAGTAGATCCACCTGTTCTGATCCCCACTCTGTCTCTGGTGAGTCCTCTCAATCCCTGCACCTCTGGCCTGCACCCCAGTTCTTCTATGTATAAATAAATAAAATAAATCTTTAAAAAAAAAGACCTTTTTTTTAATTCCTGTTGTCCCTTATGTCTATATTACTAGGGTTATATATGCTCCTTTATTTCAAAACACAAATTGAGTAATTTTATTTCAACAAATTGTTAAAACATTTTATTAAAAAAATAACATTCTCATTAAAGGCAATTTATAAAATACAGAAAAATAAAAAGCCAAAGAGAAAATTCCACAAAAATTCTCTTATCCAACAACAACTGCTGGATAACAACTTAAGGCATTTAGTTATATTTCCTTTCTGTAGATTTGTTTTTTGCTTACATACAATTTTGCTATGATACTTTTAAAGTTATTACTATTATAAATGCATAAGGTGTAATGGAGACCTCATCCTAAACATAATTTTACTGGTTATACACTATGATGTACCAACTTCATAGATAAATTTTTTAATTATCTCAATTAAACCAATTTTTCATGTGTCACTCAAGATACCACATTTAAAACTATAAATATTTTGAGGAACTTGATATCATCCATAGTGTCAAATCATTTTAAAAGTTTTCATCAATTTACCACATATTATATGAGGTGATTCATTTCATTGAGTCCCTGATCAACATTGGGATATTGAATATTTTAAAGTTGTTAATTTGATAAAATATTGTATATCATAGTCTTAATTTATATATTTATTGGTACTGAGATTAAAATTATTTTAAATAATTATTTATTAATTATAGGTGATATATTACAGAATATCTTTCTTGTTCTCCCCAATTATCTACTATATTCTAGTATTTTCCTTTTCTGATTTCAATTGACCAGTCATATCCTTTATCTGTTATCATTATTAAAGAGAATTCTACTCTCTTTCATTATTCATTTTCAATTTCCTTCTTAATTTATTGCAATATAATTCTGTCAACTTGAAATTGTCTGTAAGAAGGTCTTAAGATGTCTCACAAATATACCATTGATTTCTCTGCTGAAATCAACTGTATAAGTTACTTACTCTGTCTCAAAACTCTCTTCTCTACATGACTTTGGAACACCAAACCTTGAGGTGCTTTCTTTAATGCTCCTTTATAGATTCCTTCAGATGTTGTTTTTTCTCATTATACAAGTATTTAGGAGCATCCCTCAAACCCACCCCATATCTGCATTGTACTAGCTTCTGTTGATAGTCAACTAGACAGACAATACTCATTACTTTATGGGAATGACAACGTAGAGGATTAGATATAACCAAACTCTCTCTTCTTCCTGCCTCATATCCAGCTGAACTTCAGAACCACAACCAGTTTCTACCAGAATCATCATGAATTCCCCAATCACACAACCAGAGATTCTGGAGTTAATCTTGGCTTCTCATCCACTAAGCACTAATAGCTAATCAGAACCTTGGTCTAGTTAGGTATCTTACTAATAGAATAATCTTGCTCCTCCTTTTTTCCATTGCCTCTATTTTACTTCAGGCTCCATTTGCACAGGAGTGAGCAGGCATGACATATGAGTATGGTGACATATGTATGTGACTTATCTCTTATTTATCATGATAGGATAAGTGTCCTTCCTCCTAAGTTCAATTATGTATTTATTGGTAATGAGATTAAAATTATTCTAAATGATTATTTATTAATTATAGGTGATATATTACAGAGTATCTTTCTTAACTGCTCAGATCCCAATCCTTCCATGTAATCTAAAATCTGTCATCATCAGGATTTTCTTTTATTCTCTACTTCTAATACTCTCAAATATGACTTTTTACTTTCCCCTCCAATTATTCTTTGTTCTCACTTTCACTATCAGGCAAACTTCTTGAAATAATGGACAAAGCTCAGTGGTGGCTGATGTATTCCACTCATATGACCTTCCACTGCAAGATGACTTTCCTCCCCATACTGTGTCACTACAACTGTTCACACTGAGAATGCCAAGACTGCTAAATCTTTTGTTTTCATTAATTCCTCTACAAAATTATACACTGCCATTCACTCTTTCCTTCTCGAAAGACTTTTTCCTTTGGATTTTATCTCATTCCACTTTCCTTGTTTTTCTCTGACTTTTTGTATAAATCTTTGTTTCCTTTGAAGTTGCTTTTGCTTTGCCATCACTTCTGATCTCATGATTCTTCTCCAGGTTTCTATTTGGGCCCTATCTTATTCTCAGGCTATATTCTTCCCATATGAGGATATTCATTGAAGTTCCTCAATCACTTTCCTTTTTCCTTCTAAAGCTTGTATCCATCCAAAGTCTCTCCCCACTTAGCTATCCACATAATTTAATTTGAGCATGTGAAAAAAAATCCAAACTCATGTACTATTGCACCTTTTCCTAGGTTCCTATAATTCTACCACCAGCCAATGCGCAACTCAGAAATCAGAGTGCTGTACTGAACCAACATTCTTCCATACTCTCCAAATTTATATTTCACCTCCAAAATTCATTTCAACTTGTTAGCTCTGTATTCTAATGCCACTATTTTAATTCAACCTGCCATCATCTCTTATGAATTACTAAAACTACCTTCTCACTGGTCTTTTTGCTTTTGATCATGTTCCCATATATATTTCTCCATACTGCAAATGGTTTTACTATAGTACAAATCTAATTATTCTATCCCATCATTTTATCTCCAAGTTCTCCATTGCCTTTGGATAATGTTCAAAATTGTCTGTTTAGCATACAGGTCTTGTATAAACCTTCAGTTATATCCATTAGGTACCTACCCCCAGATATAATTATCACAAAGGTTCTCTTTTGCCTGCAGGCTTTATGCTTGGGAATCAGCTATTTACCACTGGTGTTCTTTATTCAGATCTTTAGGTCTCAGCTTAGAAATTACAAATTGCTTTTTTTTTGTGGTAAGCTTGCTCATCTTCTAACATTTTCTTCCTATTCAAAGAATCCTATAGAGAGCCCATGATAACATTTAGTACAATGGATTTTACTGTCCCATTAATGTGTCTGTTTTATCTACTAGAATATATGCTCTTTAAATGGTACAGAATAGAATAATACTCAATAAATGTTAGTGAAAATAAGGGATAATTATGTTTATTGAGATTTTCAGTGCCTTAGAGAAGAAGAGCTAAAATTTAGATTTTTAACATATGACTAACCTGTGTATTATGAAGAATAACACATCTAAACATGATTAATTTAATTATTCTAATGGAAATGTCAGCTCTGAAAATCAGAATTATATTGGAATACAAATTGACAACTAAACGTGGGAAATTTGCAAAAAACTTTCACATAAAGTTATTTTATAAGATGTACACAATCCTAGAGGAAATGACTTCAGCTTTAAGAAGATCACTAAAAGAAATGAAGCCTTTTTAAAATTATTGGAAATATTTTCTTCATGAAAGCAAAATAAGTGTTTATAAAATGCATATGCTTCAAATAAATCAATTTTCTAAATTTTCAATATAGCATAATATCCTATACAGAGGGAGATTAAGATTCCATTATCATTTGGAGCTCAAATAAAGAAACTATTTATATTTTTAATACATATGGCAACTTTCCCATGACTATTTTCTTTTCCCTTAATGGTCTTTTCAGCAATATAAAAATAAAATACTCCTGGTTTCATGGATAGAGATGAGTTCATTTCATTACCAAAAGCTTTTTGAGGACATGGGTTACATGCTGAGCAAAATGTTTCATAGGATGGAAGTATTTTTTTGTAATTTTGATAAATGGCTGATTCTATGACTCTAATGCTGGAAATAGTAAAAATATGATTTACATTATAAAATATAAGTGGCCTGTGTGTATGTTTATTGAAATACATTATTGCATCATACCTCACAAAGCACAAATAAAATTGGAGTTTGGCATAAATGCTAGACTAACAGAATTTTAAATTCATTAACATCTGTATAAATACTTGTTGATAGGCTGTTTATGGTTTATTCCTTAACCAATCCAATCTGTTGCTGGAAAGTTGTCAGCACTGGCATGAAACCAATAACTCTCAAAGAGCCATTTGTGCATGACAAGCAACATCCCTATTCTTTTAAAATATATTTAAATATATGTAATAGATCACTAAGGAAAAATGACTTCATGAATAAAGTAAAGGATTGTTGGTACAAAAGTTTAAAAACAGCAAATTTGGGAATAGAGCCAAAGCTAAATGTAAGGTCAAGGGTTAACTGCAGCACTAATCGCTCCTTTACATATTTCACTGTATTTTATGGCAGAAAGGTTAAAAAAAAAAAGTACTAGAATAAAAAATACTTCCTAGTTTTTGACATTTGAATTAATTCTCAAAAATTTGTCTGCTGAGGGGGTTGGGGTAGTACAAGAAGTATATGAATGACCTCTATGGAAAGCAAAGAAAAATAAAAGTGAGCTTCTAAATTATATCTATAAAAATACATAGATTTTGTAAGGCACAAAATCTACACAAAATTTCAACATTGTGGAATTGCCATATTTAAGTGAATCCCTTTGGAATAACAGAAACATCCTTTCACAAAACTGATGCAGTTGTGCTTATTAACCACTTTTAAGCGTTCTGCATGCAGCTTAGGTATAATTCTACTGAAAGGATATGTTTTGCCATTTGTATTCTTTGTATTCTTTGGTAGCACTGTCTCCTTTACAATGCAATACCCAATGCTACGTAAGCAATAATTCTTTGATCTCATCCATGAGATTCCCATAGCTCAGGTAAATTACAGCCTATAAAGTCATATAGATATTAATGCATCTTCATTATTATCTTTATGGGGAGTTAGGACTAGGGTAAGGGAAGTAGGACAAATGAGATACTTGCACAAAATGTAAGAGGGTCAAAAATCTGTTATCTAGGTAAATGATATTCTAAAATCAAAATCAGTACACAAGTCTATGATGAACAAAATATCCAAATTTTAAATAATAGGATCAGTGGCAATTACTGTGCCAATCTATTAGAACCAGAGGTAAAAGTGAAAATCAGTATTCAGATCCTTCATGGCTAAGATATTGGCAGATTTACCCACTTCTAAGTAATAGCAACTTAAGTGTCATTCGACTGTATTTAGAACTATTCAGTATTTATTGCTAAGATTGTGCTCTACTGTTTTCTATGAACTTGTCCTATCACTTTATATTCCATTATAAGATGACCTGAAGTTGTGATAAATAAGAATTTAATTATAGAATAAATTAATCCAGTCTATAAAAATAGAAGTTACATTTATTAACCTACCTGCTTAGGAAATTATTACACAAAGGTAAGCTGGATTTTTCACTTAACTAGCTTGCAATGTTGGTCAAATTATTCGCCTTTCATTTTTTCCTATTCATTTTTCTTCTCTTAAATACATATGTACATTTAATTAACAATAATATAAATTTAATTTATAATAATATAAATTATAGAATACATATAAATAACATCATAAAATTATACCAAACATGTAATAAAGACTAACAGTGGCTACTATAATATATTTTAATTAAAATGAAGTCCACTATGCATAGCCTTAATGCTATCACAATTGTTGTAATTGCTATATGTTCTGTGATGGGTAAGACTTACCTATCCTGGAGGTCAGGCTATCTGTTGGAGTCTGTAAATCCAGGTCAAGATCAAGGTTCCAGGGTGTCACTGGCAGGAGGGGAAGATTCCAGGATTAACCACAAGACTAGACAGTACTACATTTTGGGGGTGAGGACAGGGAATCCTCCTTATCAGAATATTAAATTTGTAACAGGTATTTATTTTTAAATGTATTTTATTTCCTAACATATATGAGGGTTTTAGTATGTCTTCAATAAAGAAAAATTAATTTCCAAAGATAAGAAGGGCACACAGTCTTAATTGATCTGAAGTTATTTCAAATAATTTTTAGCAATTGCTCAGTAATAACCATGAAGGAGACTCCATTGACATGATTCTCTCCTGTTTCACTCTCTCAATTTAATTATCCTTGGAAAATATTCCTTTATCCAACCTAGACTCCCTCAGGGAGTGTTAGTATAGTAGGTCATTCAAACATGGGCCCACCCGATGGAAAATGGAGAGTCTGATGTAAGTAGGTTGGCTTTCAAAATAATATGGTCACATAAATATTACTGCCACCTGTCTGTTTTTTTGTTTGTTTTTTTGGTATAATATTAGAGCTATGGTCCCCACCATAACAATAGTCTCTACTCTGGTAAGAAATATTTCTAATTCTACTTATTTATATATTTTTATTAACCAAGGTTCTGGTAAATAATTTATTACCTTGCTTTATTTCAAAAGAAATTAATAAGCAATGTTACATTGCTACATTGATGATAAAATTGAAGTTGATGGTCAGATCCAATTAAACTATTTCATATCATTGTAATCATTGCTTTTATTATTTATAGCTGTAAAATTTAAATATGCGTAGCACAGGCCTATCTATTCATAATGCATTCCTCATTGTCTATTAATTTGCCACATTTGATGAATATAGCTATTTCTGTTATGACACATGAAATAATGAATATGTATTAAATAAATATTAAAATGCCTGCATTAAAAACAATGGGTAAATATAAGTGGAAATAATTTTCTGTCAAAATTTGAATGGCAACATATTAAAGGCTAATAAAGTTGCTCCAAACTTATTGCCTGTCGCAAGCAATAATTTAAGCAAGTATACCCAGAGCCTGCTGAAAATTTAAGTTTTCTAAGGAAATATTTCATTAATGTAATTTTTTCATCTTTTGTCATAATATCTTTGGAAAGATAGAACCTAATTTTATGTAGTAGAACTTCACTTGTAAATGGATCAGGGCATCCATTCATGTATTTCACTTTTAATGGAAAAGATAAGTAAAAACATGACTATTCCATTTACATTCTAGTAGAAAAATAAGACAAGATACACATTACAGTTCTCATTCATAAAATATTAATTTTTTATAGTAAAACTATATAAATATTGACATAGAACCCTTTTTTTTTTTTGTGGGAGGAGAAGGAAGAATTGGAGGTGGGGTTTGAAGTTGGAAGGATTCTTGATTAGGCAAATCATCTCCTTATCAGAATGTCTTTATGCCAAGGACACCTTGGGAGCAACCAAGATGTCCTTCAGTGGGTAAATGGAAAACTGCTACATTCTATGATGGAATATTATTTAGCACTAAAAATAGATATTAAGCCAAGAGTAGACATGGAGGAAACATAAATGTTTATTACTAAGTAAAGAAGTCAATCTGAAAAGGCTGTATATTGTATGGTTCCAGTTCTGAAACAAAAGACGAATCTATGGGGACAGTAAAAAGAGCAGTGGTTGTCATGGGTTGAAGCAGGAAAGGAACAACTGAATAGGCAGAGCACAGAGTATTGTTAGAACAATGAAACTCTTGTATATGCTATATTGATTTTGTATATTGCTCTATTGTTAGATCAATAAAACTCTTGAATACCTACAATGATATTTGTCCAAACATGTAGAATGCACAACACTAAGAGTGAACCCTGATTTAAACTATGGCCTTTTGGTAAGATAATGTGTTAATATAGGTTTATTGATTGCAATATAACAAAATCACTTCAGTGAAGGTTGTTTATAGTGGCAGAGACTGCACGTGTGTGTATGTAGTCACTCTACTTCTGCTCAATTTTGGTATAAACCTGAAACTCTTTCTAAAAAATTTTAATATATTTTTAAAAAATTTCAATATTTTAGGGCCTCCCCTGGGTTGGCGCAGGCGGTTGAGTGCTGCGCTGTGAAGCTGTCCTCCGCAGCCTCTGCATCGCCATTTCCATCCTGGCCGGCCAGCGAGGGTCCCACATGGCACTGCAGACCTCTCCTGTCATACCCGCTGCTCCCCTCAGCAGTGTATTTTGTCAGTCTGCCTGTTCTGTTCCCCGCTCTGTCTCTGGTGAATTCTCTCACCCTCCCGTGCATCTGGCCTGTAACCTGGTTCTTGTATAAATAAAATAAATAAATCTTTAAAAAAATTTTTTCAATATTTTAGCTGAGTTGTAGTTGTATTGTAGGTGTATTCAGTTCACCACATAGTTTAAAGTAGAAGCCTCTTCATCAATTACTGTGGAAATAGCTCATCACAAGACCAATAGGTGATAAATTTTATTGAGAGAGTATGTGTCTTATATGACTGGAGGGGATATTTAGTGGTAGAGAGAAGATTTAGCAGCGACAACAGTTTCAGCTTTCCATGGAGGATTGATATGCCTAGCAACAGTCAATAACTTCTAGTATATTATCTGATAAATATTCTAGAGATATCCAATACTATTGCCATTTTGCCATTTTAAAGACAGGAGTGCTTCAACTCATTTATTATATCACATAATAATTGGTTGAGCTAATTTTTTTTTTTAAAGAGGCATGTATTATTTATTTGTTTGTTTGTTTGTTTGTTTATACATGCACTGGGTACAGTCAGAAGTGCGGGAGGGTGAGAGAATTCACCAGAGCCAGAGCAGGGAGCAGAGCAGGCAGAAGGACTGAAGTACACTGCTGAGGGGAGCAGCGGGCGGCAGGAGAGGTCTGCGCGCCATGTGGGACCCTCCTCTGGTGGCCGGGGAGCAGCCGGGGATTGAACCAGCGCTGCAGAGGCCGCGGGCAGCTTCGCAACCCAGCGCTCAACCGCTGCACCACCGGGGAGGCCCAGAGCTAAAATTTTTAAATAGCTTGAAGCTCCCATCATATTTCTTAACAACACAATTGCAGTTTTTAAAAATTTTCCCACTGGAAAAAAAAAAATCCCAGTTTTATCTAATTTTATACATAGGATTGGGAAATCAAGAATTATTTTCAAAATTTCTATCAAAAACAATGTTTTTGGTAATATGTGTGTGTGTATAGATGTATACACATTTTTTGGCTGTTGTAGTAGCGTGATTCATCTACAGATCTATCATCTATCTTTCTTTCCCTTATTTATATTCTATTTTTCATGGTGTCTTCAGAGACTGGCTAGCACTGGGAGGACATATTTTTATGTTTCTTATTTATAACTTGATATCATATCCATATACTTTTGTTTTGTTTTTCAGTATTTCTCTTAATTCTAAAAATTCTTCTTTGTCTTCACTTACCTATTTTCTCCTACTTTTACTTCAATTGTCTCCTTTGCCATCTATATATTTCTCAGTGCTCATATTATGTCAAGAATACAGATAACAACTCTAAAAACAGTGGAAGAAGTTTAGGTATAGTGTATAAAGGCACTTCTTGACCCCATTCATAGAGTCAGGGTTTCTGGGAGAGTGCTGATATTTAACCCTCACCGTTGAATTTGTTTTTTTTTGTTGTTGTTGTTGTTTGTTTTTTTTTTTTTTGTAGCTTCATCTGTAGGTCCCAAGTTAGACATTGTTGGATTGAGCTGCTTCACTAACAGAAGCATAGGACATTCCCTGGATGAGGGAATGCTTTTGAATTAGTTATCTGTTTATCTTTTATTAGGATTTTGCTTATTTTAACTGGATCTTTCTTTTTTTAATTAAAATTTTTATGTTACATCATTGTACCTTCTCCTCTCAGGTGTAATCCCCATAAAATTGCCATCACAAAGACACCTGTGAACCATCACCATAGTCTCTTGTGCTCTTCTCTACCCTGTTTTTTTTTTTTTAAGATTTATTTATACAAGAACTGGGGTACAGGCCAGAGTCACGGGAGGGTGAGAGAATTCACCAAAGACAGAGGAGGAGTAGAACAGGGAGACAGACCAAAGACACTGCTGAGGGGAGCAGTGGGTGAGACAGGAGAAGTCTGCTGTGCCATGTGGGTATCTCCTTGGCCAGGGATTGAACCGGCGCTGCAGAGGCTGTGGACAGTTTCACAGTGCAGCGCTCAACCCACTGCGCCACTGGGAAGGCCCTCTTCTCTAGCGCATTTTGATCCTTCTCTCTTCCCCTCCCCAGCTGTATGTCTCAGATTTATAGTTTGCCAGCTAGTTTTGTCTTTTTTCCCCATTGATCCCTTGTTTGCATTCCCTATGTTACTCCCATAAGTGAAAACATCCAATATTTTCCTCTTTCTTTCTGACTTACTTCACTGAGCATAGTCCCTTCCAGCTACATCCATGTTGCTGTGAATGACAAGAGTTTATCTTTTTTGATTGCTGAATAGTATTCCATTGTGTATATATACCACATGTTTTTGATCCAGTCATCTTTAACTTAATCTTTCAATCTCACAAATTTTATTACTGTACTTGCCTGGATTTGAGATTCTCCACTCTTTTCTGTCCCTCCTACTTAAGGCATCAGTTCAGAATGATGTTTGCAAAACTGGAAAGGTAGCACTGCCTTGTTGAGGCTTATTTTTTCATTGAGAAAATTTGGGTACGACAACAACTTATTTCCCTTACTCTCAGAGTGAAGTCATACTAAAAATTGTTATATAATGGGAATATAGTAAAAATGTTTAACTTTTATTCAAGGGCACTGGCCAATCAGAAAGGATGCTGGATTATAACTGGAGCAGAGTTCTGGAAGGCCCCTGCTATGTAAATATTAATCCCTTAGTTACTCAATATCATAGACTTGGGAGGAAATTTCCAGGGGAGAAGCTAAAGTAGCCATAGTGGGTGGACTGAGAGCAGTGGAGAGACTTAAAGTAGTTATTTACCAGTAAAATAAGAATATTTTTAGTA